ATGTCATATTATGCTGTTACCCTTGTATCTGTCATGTTTGCTGGTCATCTTGGTGATCTTGAGCTCGCTGGAGCTACTCTGGGAAATTCTTGGGGTACTGTCACTGGAATTGCCCTCATGGTAAATTATTTATTTATTTGGTTATTTGATCAATTTCTTGGGTTAAATTTTAGGCTTGTGAGGTTAGGACTGTCACAGACCCAAGTGACATTATTCTCAAAGAAATTCACTTGATTTTTGTTTTTTTTAAATGGCTTTGGAAATCTTAATTTGTTCGGTGCCATTTCACATATCCAGAGATCTCCGAGCATAACACCTACATATTCATCATTTTGCATATAAATCAGTACAAGGAGTCTAAGACCATCTCCAACGCAGCGGCATTTTGAGGCGAAAAGGGAAAATGCCGCTGCGTGGGAGCTCCAATCGAGCGGCATTTGTTGCCGCATTTTGACGGGGATGAACAGCGCGACGCTATATTTGGCGTCGCACTGTTCATCCCCCATTACTGTTTTTTTTTTATTTTTTTATTTTTCAATTTTTTTTAAACCTCATACTTTTATATATTTACAATTTGTCCCCAATTGTTTCATTAAATATATAAAACAACCCTAATAATATTTAAATTTTATAATTTCACCCCAATTGTATAATGTGGACAAAATAAATTATGGTTTTTTTAAATTAAAAAAATGCTAAAATTTAACAGACATTATTATTAATTATAATATTAAAATCTAGACATACATAATATAAAACTTCATTAAAGAGCAATCATAATACATAATTCAAATATAAATTACATATCTGAAATACATAACATATAAAAACTGACACACATAATATAAAACTTCATTAAAATAAAACATAAAATACAAACTAAACATGGTGACGTTACTTAAGATGGACAAGCAACTCTCAATAATCTGGTAGATCGGGGCCAGAGTGTCCAATATCATTAAAATAATTGCCAAAATTAGAAGCAGACCCTTGTTCTTGTTGATTTCTTTTTTGTATTATTTTAATCTGTTGAGCTCGAACGTACTCACGCACGTTTGGATCAGCAATGGAATTCAAATCTTTCATTATAATTTTCCATTCATCTCTATCTTTTTTCATGGCTATCTTTTCTCGTTCGATATCAAATGCTTCTTGCCTGTCCAAGCTCGCCTTGTCTAACCTGTCTATAAGTCGATTGTTGGAGGTCTCGATGGAGTCCACTACACTTGACTCATGATCATCATTTTTCCTTTTCAATTTAGCTTTTTTTACCCCAATAGGTCGTTCAGATGGAGTAAATGATGACAATCCAGGAGATGTTGATATAGGAGATTCCGGAGTGGGATTATCTGATTGTGACGAGTCGAAGTTCACACTTTGGGATTGTCTTCGACCAACTTGTCTTGCTGTGGGGACATCATCTTTGAATTTTTCGAAATTTTTAACCATATTCCAGACATGATCAAATTTGAAACCTTTTTTGTACTTCGGTTCTTGCATAAATAACATCTTTGCTCGAACTAACTGTAAATTATAGTGAACATCAAGTTATGTATTTCAACAATAATAATAAAATTCAAACGATAATTAATAGAATACTTACAATATCTTCATCTGAAGCACCACTTGGATTCAGATTCTCTACTTGTCTCAAGCACGCATTCAATTTCCTTACTTCATTACTTATAATTTCCATTCGAGAACGAATTGATCGGCTCGTACGCATCTCAAAATGCTGATCTCGAAGTTCATTGTATTTGTCCTCCACACGAGACCAAAATGCATCTCGAGACTGGTTTCTACCGATAATAGGGTCTTGAGAAATATCCAAGAATACTTGACAAAGGAGCACATCTTCAGTAACCGTGTACCCAGTTGATCGAACAGACATTTTTTTGTAAAAAGCGGTTGGTTTGGAGATCAGAAATACTTTGAAGAAATACTTCGAATTGGGTGGCTTGAAGTAGAAACCGTGAATGTTATTTATAGCCAATCCAAATTTGTTTTTTTTGTTTGAATTTGAATTTGAATTTGAATTTGAATTTGCGGTTGGTTTGAATTTGTCGGTGGTCAACATTTGAAATTGAATCATTTTGTACAAACTGATCAGCTTTACACATTATCCAACGTTGTCGGTGGGAATCAATTTTTGAAATCAGGTCAGCTTTACACATTGTCCAACGTATACAAAGCTCAGCTCTCCTTGAATTGTGTGAAAGCTTTGTACGAGTGGGAATCAATTTTTGAAATCAGGTCAGCTTTATACATTGTCTAACGTATACACAGCTCAGCTCTCCTTGAATTGTGTGAAAGCTTTGTACGAGTCGGAATCAATTTTTGAAATCAGATCAGCTTTACACATTGTCCAACGTATACACAGCTCAGCTCTCCTTGAATTGTGTGAAAGCTTTGTACGAGTGGGAATCAATTTTTAAAATCAGGTCAGCTTTACACATTGTCCAACGTATACACAGCTCAGCTCTCCTTGAATTGTGTGAAAGCTTTGTACGAGTGGGAATCAATTTTTGAAATCAGGTCAGCTTTACACATTATCCAACGTATACAGCTAAAAGCAAATTTGAATTTTGTGACAAATTGATAACAGCTGGAAAGCATTTCCTAAAATCAGCTCAACTTTACACATTGTTCAATGTATACAGCTAAGCAAAGTTTTATAAATAGCATACTAGATTAGGTACATCCACACAATTACTCATTGTTGTGTTAAAATTATTATTCTCCATTTCTGCATACTTCAGTCATTCTTTTCTTACTTCAAAAATGAATTTCGATGTTGGAGGTCCATCATACTTATCATCATCTTCATCTTCGGATGATGATAATTTTCTGTCCAATATCATTGCAGAGATTGATGAAACCGAAGAAGTAATTTGTGAGTACATCAACAACAACATGATCCTCGTTAACAATTTACGTCAACACAACTACCAACCGATCCATGGTGGCTCGATTCCCGGTCATGCAGTGATCAACCGCGATCGAGAAAATGCGCATCAGAATTTGGTCATAGATTACTTTGCCGATAATCCACGTTTTGGAGAAGATATGTTTCGTCGTCGATATCGGATGTCAAGAAGTTTGTTCCTTCGTATTGTTGATGCAGTGAAAGATCATGACTATTACTTCCAACAACGAAGTGATGGACTTGGTAGAATGGGATTATCACCGTTACAGAAAGTAACAGCTGTTTTTCGCATGTTGGCATACGGTCTACCAGCTGATGCTACGGACGAATACGTTAAAATAGGTGAGTCAACAGCAATTGAAAGTATGACAAAATTTTGTCGTGCTATGGTGGAAATATTCGCAGAGCGGTATCTACGAACACCTAACGCTAACGATATTGCTAGGCTACTCTATATTGGAAAAAAAACGTGGTTTTCCAGGAATGTTAGGAAGTCTTGATTGTATGCATTGGAAATGGAAAAATTGTCCAACAGCATGGTCTGGGCAATACACAGGACGTAGTGGGTCACCAACTATTATCCTCGAAGCTGTGGCAGATTATGATCTTTGGATATGGCACGCATATTTTGGTATGCCAGGCACCAATAATGATATCAATGTGCTGGAGTCATCTAATCTTTTCTCTAACCTAGCTCAAGGTATTGCTCCTCCCGCTCACTATGTTATTCAAGGAAAAGAGTATAATATGGGTTATTATTTAGCTGATGGTATATATCCGAAATGGGCTACTATTGTACAAACAATCCAACAGCCACAAGGTAGGAAGAAAAAATATTTTGCCATGAAACAGGAAGCATGTAGAAAAGATGTAGAACGTGCGTTCGGAGTTCTCCAATCACGATTTGCAATCGTGGCAGGATCAGCACGTTTTTGGAAAAAACATGTATTACATGACATAATGACTGCATGCATTATTATGCACAATATGATAATCGAGGATGAACGTGATCTTTATGCACCAATTCAAGAAGTGAGGGAAGCACCAACACCAGAAGTTGATATGGTAGCAGATGAAACTACAAGATTTACTCAATTTATTGCACGTTACGGAAAAATCAAGGATAAAGATGCCCATATTGCGCTTCGTAATGCATTGATAGATCATCTATGGGAGGAATACACTAATTCAGATAGTTAAGTGCATACTAAATTTGTAATTTTTATATTGTTGTTAATGTTTAATTATTTTCTTGTATTTTATTTTCTGTTGTGTTCTTAAATGTAATATTTTGGCAATATCAATAATAAAAATATAATATTTTAGCAATCAAGTTATTTTAATTAATAAAATAATATTTTAATTGTTTTATTAGTTTAATTTTTAAATAATAAATCATTTTGTTTGGAAAATATGTGAAAAAATAAAATTTGATATGTGGGGTTAATTGTTGAAATAGTTAAAAATATAGGGAATAAAAAATAATCATATAAAAGTAGATAAAAAGAAAGATACTGAGAATATTCCTTTTTGGTGCAAAAAATGGTGCAATGGGTTGGAGATGAATTACTGTTAGATGTGACTTTTGCACCATTTTGGTGCAAAATTTGCACCATTTTGAGGCAAAGGGTTGGAGATGCCCTAAGTAAGACAATGAACAATTACTGTCTATGACAGGTGTTTTTTTTATAACTAAGCTTATTTGGGATTGTATGGTTGAGGATATTAAATGCACTGCACTCATGAGTATTATGCTGATATAAACAGTTTTCTTTTGCACTCATGAGTATTATGCTGATATAAACAGTTTTCTTTTCTCAATTCAATTTCATCAATTGTGATATGAAACTGATAAGCATCAAAGTTCAAGGGAAGGAAAAAGATAACCGAAAAAATGTGTCTTGCATATTTTCAGCTGTTGTCATTCAAACCTTGGAACCTTTCTAATGCTTGCATTCATTTAAACATTTTGGTATAACATCATCCCAGCAGTTTTATGTCATGCCCCAAAAGCTTTCATTTTCATAATCTTAAACATTAATAGTGCAATAGATATTACCTTCACTACATAACAAATATTGTTGCTCTTAATTTGTCTACCATTTCAGACTTGCTTGAGTGGAGCCCTTGAGACTCTATGTGGTCAAGGATACGGTGCAAATCTATACAGAATGCTAGGAATATATTTACAATCATCGATCATCATAACTACATTCTTCTCAATTCTGATCTCCTTCTTATGGTATTTCTCAAAACCAGTACTAATTTGGCTGCATCAAGATCCCAATGTAGCGAAAATGGCTTGTTTCTATTTGAGATTTCTGATACAGGGACTATTCGCATGCGCTTATCTCCAATGCGTGCTGAGATTCCCATTGTTGGAAATGGGACAAATTGGAGGTAAAATCAACTGCTTTCTTTAATACAAAATTGTACATTTTCTTTTGCAAATTTATAGTGATTCTTTGAAATTTTACTTTTTTTTATTTCACATGACAATGCTCGTGTGTAGTAATTAAATTTCCTTTGCAGCTTGTCGATTTCATCCCTGACTTCAGCAGATCCTCATGGATCGTGTACGGCGCCTCCTCACTCCTCGTCATCTCCCACTTCCCTTCTCCCCTCAATAAACTGGTTGGGCATAAGTAGCTGATTTTAAAATTTCATTTGCATCCAAAAAGATGTTTATGCCTTGACTTTCATCTTTACAGTAACAATCTGAAGTTGGTCAGGATCTTGATATTTTTTTCTGTGACATGGAGGCAGGTTGTAGTGTATCAGGCTTAAAGTTATTTAGAACCTCTCATACATGGAGGCATGTTGTACAGTTGTAGCGTCTCAAACATAGAGATGAGCGACTGATAAGGGAATTTTAAATAGAAGTGCCAAGATCTCATGTTTTGCCTTTGATTCTACTAGTAGGATTGCACGTGCAATGCACGTGGTAAAATTTTTAATATTATTTTAAATTTTAAATTTATTTAGCCAGAGATTTGGTATAAATTTATTGAATGTAAACAATATAGGCAAGATATGAACAAAATTTAAAAATTCACAACGTTTGTACAATAAAATTAAATTTATGGTTAGTTTAGACAAATACACCACAAATAGTAGAGATTCGTGTACCAAACATTTGAAGACTTAAATAATATACTAAACTCAATCTCTGTCCACTCTCATTTGGTTTCTCTGAGGAAAATCTAGGATTCGATTCATACATTCTTCACACTGAATTATCACTGGTTGATGCAGATTGGTCATCTATAACTTGTCTTCGTCTCCTATTAGGTGTAGTTTCATGGTCATATGACTGACATTTTGCTGATAACCGACTTAAGTCTTGTTTGAGGCCTTTTTTGGAAAATTGGACAAGGGAAAGGTGCATAAGTACAGGATTATGTTACAGGTGTGTCAGTATGGAAGAAAGGATAAGTACATGGATTTCTCTGTGAATTTCGCCATTGATTTATTGTTGTTGGCGCATATCTGTGATGGAACATTGGAAGGGAACATGATATAGGCCAAAGTGATAGGCTAAATTAATATTTGCTTCTTTCCTCTTTTTTGTAATCCATCATCAATAATCAATTGGATGAACCTTCTGTTGGGGATAAACTTGTTCTCTATCGAGATCAATCTCACAAGGTTGAAAAAATAAAAAAAAAATAAAAAAATAAAAAACAACTTTACAAAATATGTATAGGCACCACTTCATTTGTAGAAGTGTGGTTAGGTAAACTACAGTATTGCCTGCAGTTCTTATAGGCACCACTTAATTTGTAAAAAAATAAAAAACACTTTACAAACATGAATAGCGTTGCTGATATAACTCAAACATGACATTGGAAGAGGAGGGAGCTGAGCATTTCACAATAGCAGTCTCCATCTCCCAGAGGGTGGAGACAAAGAATGTTCCAAATCTTGCTTGCTCTTTGTACGTCTTATTTTAGCTTTGAATCTTGACTTTGCCATGAGTGTCTGCACCGTGTTTGCAAAGTTACCTACTGCCATAATTACCAGCAAGATGCCGCAAAATATGACCTACATTATCAAAGTAGAAGTCATGAGACATCCATGCCAAGACGGTAGACATTACATATTCTATAAGAAGAAACAAAAGAAAATAGAACAAGGTTTTCTTGCCTGCCACTCGGAAGCAACGCCAACAAAAGCAGTTTTAAGAATCAATATCCCAACGTACGCCTCAAAACCCTAAATTGGAAAAAAAATGTTTAAGATATTATGAGTAATTTCGATTACTAATGCATAAAATGAAAGATACACTTGAAATGAAAATGTGGTAGCTGGCACGGTGTGACTCCACAATTCATTTGAAATTTATCTTTCCTAGACGCATGCTATCAAATCTAAATTACGTTAAACAGCAACAACAAAAGAATCTTTAGCCAACAACGAGGTTGTAAATATGCAGCTTAACCTTATACATGTAAAGAAAAAAAATAGGGTCACAGAAGCCATAGTTGGTCTTCTACACCGGCAGTTTCTCCCCACACAACATCCATTCTCCTTGGCTGCAAAGAGAGAAAAATGAAGAGAGACGACACTTAGAATTGATCATATGGAGAAATATAAAATTACAAAAAAAAACAGGGTTAATTGCAGATACACCTCCTGTAGTACAGAGATATAGACATTTATATGCCCATAAGACTAATTTATTAGCACTTGCATCCTATGAACCTGAAGCAATGTTATTCTCTCATTAGGTTGTTAGGTTGAGATGTCATATGTGAATCATGTGAATAACTTTTCCCCTTGATATTTAGAGGACAATTTATTGTTTAGAGTTAAACTAATGTAGTTTTAAACAAAGGAACATGATTCAACAGAGTAAAAAGACACAAAAATCTTTTAGAGTTAAACTAATGTAGTTTTAAACAAAGGAACATGATTCAACAGAGTAAAAAGACACAAAAATCTATTTGATGGACAAGACATTAAACAAAGGAACATGATTCAACAGAGTAAAAAGACACAAAAATCTATTTGATGGACAAGACATCAAAGCATATGAGAAAGGAATCCGTAAAAATAATAGGAAAAAAGAAATTCCAAGGTTTATAAACAAGGGGCTTACAAGCAGTAAAAACAAGGTCAAAGATTCAGAAGACTTGGAAGTCGACAAAATTAATGTAACCCACACAAATTTTGCATGCAAAACACCAGTTGAGAATTGCTTGCTTGCTTCTACACTAAGTATGAATTTTATGTCTTTTCTCTTATCGGATACTAAAGGCTTCTGCCAAGTCCTATTAGAAAGAAGTCAGAATGTACCATCAAACTCAATAATCTCTTGTATGTATGCTTGTATGGGTTTGAGCATGTTAGTACCTATTAAATGTTACTTTATACTTGCAGGTTATTGCTTAAAAAAAATTATATACATCCGCTAAATTTATCCACTAAACAAGCACAATAGTTGAAGATTAATAATTTATCAATCCGCATAGACAGATGAATAGGAAACCAAAGAGTAAAGCAGTCATGGCAACATTTGCTTTACCAAAGGGTGCAAAAATTCACTATGATAAAAATTCAATTCAAAAATATATGATGTTACCTTGCCTAAAGCAATGTGAGTATACAACCGCTGGCGCTAGTATCTATTTTGTAGAAGCATTGCAAAACATTGCATGACCGCCCATACAAGAAACAATTCAACCCTTTTATGCGCAAAATTTTTGTTAGATTGGATATAATAATTATCAAATAAATATATAATTAAGAAATTAAGTACATGCTTGTTGGCACAATCAGGTTGCCCTTTTATCTCCCATGTGAGATTCACAATAGCCATCAACATAGCACAATAATGACGGAATATCCACCTGCAAGAGCACAAGTAAAAATTGTTTTATGAAAAGCAATGTTGTCCTAGATAATAAACAATTATCAAGCACTATATAAATAGTAATTTGTTCTATCTAAATGTTGAAATGAGATTCTCGTATTCATAATTAAGGCGTCATTGTAACTCTCTAATAAAAGTTAAAGCATTATAATAGTTGAGCTTGGTAGCACAAAATCTGAACTCAGCTGACAATCTGGTTTACATGGATAGGGTTTGAAGATCATAATTATATTAGATCATGTAGATAGGGTTTGAAGATCTTACTTATATCAAATCATGTGGATGCCCCCTCATTGCCACTCCAGGTTTCACACTGCGCTAAGTGAACTGAACCCACTAAAATCCAAAACAACAAATGTTTAAACCAAAACAACATCTTCAACCACAAATTCCAAACAAAAACATATGATGATAATATGCAATTGAAAGGTAGTATCTACCTGGTAGAGCTGAACTACCAATGCTGGGAAGCATCCATTCCAAATCCAAGACCTTAATAGTAGCATAGTGGAGGGAAAGAAAAGAAACAGAAAGGTTGTTCGATCATGCAAAAAGAAAGTTACACTATTGTCAAATGTGATTTTGACCTACCAAGAGATAATGACAGCATATTATTGCATGGCTTTGATGGAAAGTTTTATTTTCTTTCATATGCATCTAAAATCACAATGCACTACGTTTCAAAGTACATCATCTTCACCACATTTACTCACAAAATTATGTCAACCTCTAAGCAAGAAGATGGTTGCTTTCCAGTTACATCTAGATTGTTTATGGATAGTCATGAAATTCATATATCAGCATGCTTGTCTGACGGCACTGTCAGGTTACAAGGTGTAATTTCTAAACTTAAATCTACCTTTCATATGTAAATGTAATATATTTAACTTAATAGGAACAGATTATGAGAAAATTCAAGGGGGGTCTTGTGAAACACGCCAAAGATCATGGGGTTTATGTAAAGATAAAAAAGAGTTAAGAGGTATGTGCAAAACCACCCAACGCACAGAGGGATTTTGTGGGTTTATGTAAAGATAAAAAAGAGTTAAGAGGTATGTGCAAAACCACCCAACGCACAGAGGGATTTTGTGAAATTAACTCAAAAAAGAACCGTCACAAGAGGTATGTGCAAAACCACCCAACGCACAGAGGGATTTTGTGAAATTAACTCAAAAAAGAACCGTCACTCTGTGTCTTTTCTTTTGAGCTGTCACTTCTTTCTGGTCATTTCAATTAATCTCATACACTAGCTTGGATGAATAAAATGGGCATAAACGAATAAAATGAACATAAAAAGTTCAGATAGCCCTAGAGCTTCTATATATTGGCACTGTAACGAGCCAGAGACCTGACTTCCACCAATTTATAAAAATCCATTTAAGCATTTTCTTCTTTTATCACAATAGATTTCTGATTCAGCATCGTCGAGAAGAAATGCTGACCTGATATCTTTAATGTCAAGCCCTCGGGCAGCAACATCAGTAGCTACTAAAATCGGTGCTTTGCCACAACGAAACTGGTTCAAGACATAATCCCTTTAACCCTGAGACTTGTCTCTGTGAATAGCAGCAGCGCCATAACCACGCATAGAGCGAGCAAGCTGGTCACAGAGTCTCTTTGTCGAACAGAAGATTATAAACTTTGATCCACGCTCTTGAGTTCTAATAATCTACTCCAACCGTCTCTGTTTCTCCATCGGCAAAACAATCTCCACATGCTGTCCATAAAAACAGTAATAATAAGAATAGAAAAGAGGAAGAAAATCCAGATCAGATTTATTGACATGCAAACAAAGAGGAAGACATCCAGATTAAATTTATCACCTTGCACACAGAAAACAGAATTACTTTGATACATAGCAGATTCTGAGATGTTAACACATAATAATCACAAAAACACAGAGAAAAGAATTCTGAAGGCTATAAGGTTAGAACAGCAGCACAATATCTAAGCTAAAGCCGTCATCAAGTAATTGACAAATACAGATTTTAGTGAGCAAACAATGTATCGAGACTAAGGTCAAATCTGCATTGTAAAATGGCTGATAACTTTCCCAACTATTATTGCCTCGTGTCCCACAAAGAGCAAGAAAATGTTACTAAGCATGCATGACCCTAAGTTGCTGGATAGATAAAATTGGATTTCTTTTAGGGGCGAAAAAGAAGGAACTACTAATAAGGTCCATTCTAGCTGTAGACAAACATAAGAAATATATTACTAACCATATATCCTTCTAAAGCTTAAACTTCAAATCAAATTCAATAATTCATATTTTAAGAAACCTAACATGTTTGGCAACTAAAAACGATATATGTATGATGAAGAAATATGGTTACATACAGCACACATCTAATCATTCATAATGGTTAAACTTTATATGTGATTTTTTTTAAATAGTCTTTTGATAAAAATAATTGCAGACAATCTTCATCAATTAGATAAGTGCAGAAATACACATCTACATAAGAAAGTCACACATTCAAGACCCAGAGGGACTGTGTTTCATTCGTACAAAATGCTTGATGCCTAATCTAGTGAACAAACCTTTCCCAGGAAAATAACAAAGAAATAACTTGCCTAATCTTAGCATATTAAAAAAAGGAAAAAGAAAAAAAAACAGCCTGATTTATGCTTACCTGTGTGATTGCATGCTAGATTATAACAATCATATACCTTCTAAAGGAAATAAACACAGAAACTTGGCTCTTCAAATGAAAAAGCTCAATAGCCTAACAAAATTGATTTAACAAATAAAAGCTCAATAGCCAGATGTAGCAGAAAAAGCAAATTATATGACATTTAAACAAAAATTACCAGGTGTCTTGAACAATGTGCAAATGTAAATACATCAGGTGGTGCAGACACATCATGTCTCAGAAAAGATAATTGTCCCTCTGCATTCTGCCAGACTGAACCAAGTCATACCTGTCCTCAAAATAATATTGCAAACGAAAAGAAAGTCATTGATAAATCATCAAAACTCTTACGAAAAATAAAAAGCTTAAGTTCTTGAATTTTACATGGCCTTGGACGATCATCTTTCCTTATGAAATCTAGTAGTAGGCAATCTTCATTGATTATTCTTTTAAGAACATTGAGAATCTAGCCATGTCATAAAACAGATAAAAATAAATTTAGGCTACTAAAAGAAATAAATTAGAATAACAATTTAGTAAAATTAGCTACCTTCTCTATGGAAAGCTATTTTTTCCTCTCAACATGTTCAGTAAGCTGTGCTTGGTCATCATATTTCTTGCAAAAGACTCATCAACAATAGTTCATGTGCAGTATAGATAAGTAAAAAATAGTTGACATGCAAATTTAAAGTAATAAAGTGAGCTATTCTCTAAATATGTATTTAGATTCACATAATTTAATGTTAAATTTAAGTTAATAACTGCAATAACAATCAAAGCATGCAATAGTTATCAAACAACTATATGAGCATATGTTTATAAATCATAAATTGTCCTAACACCTTCAACCAATTTGTAAATGTAATAAAAATTAAAAATTATTCATGTTTAATTTTTGTGGGCCCTTGATCAATCATTCTCCACCTTTATCTTCTTTTTTGGTAAATGGAGAACTGAATAATCATCATCAATGTTGATTGGGATGTCTTTTTGGATTTGGATTTCTTGTGCTATCATCTTTCCCTGTGCACGTTCATCCTTTGAGTTCTCATCCAACTTTACAAGGAACTTGTATGTCTTTCCGATGTTGAGAACAAACTTTTGAAAGAATGAACTCTGATTTTTTTTCTGTTTTAAAGAGGAAAAAATTAAGATCTTATATATGAAACATATTGTTTTATATGTATAAAATATAATAAATTAAGAAGTTACCTCTTTTATATCATCCATGAAGTTTTGAGCATTGCAGCCTATCAAAGTTTCTGTTGCGTCAAAAAGTGTCTCTTGCAGAATCTGTTTCATCTTCCACTATTATTTTAACAAGATACCTTCATTTTATATTATAATTGTGCATCAGATGATATTTTTATATTTAATTTTCATATTTTTCTCTCATGAGTAATTGATAGTACTTTACCTCGGTATGCTGTCTTCATTGTTTTTTTGACAATTTTGACATTTGTCATAAATAGTTTTGTCAACTTTTTTATTGCAGCCTTTGCATGAGTAGTACCAAGCCTCATGTCTATTTAAGATATTACTTATTTTTCCAGTAAAGCTGCCATATTGTGCCTGTAGATTTGTAAAAATTTTGTTAGTTATAAATGTAGTTTAAATATATTTAGTAAATAAAATAAGAAATTATAAAATAATTTAAAAAAATATAGTCCAAAAAGAAATTTTTAAAAATTAATGTAAAAGTAATAATTGTAAATGTATTTGAAACATAAATGAAACAAGATCTATTTATATCAGATTGTTTTGAAACTGAAGCTCTTGATTCATTAATATTTTATATTAGGATTTTTAATATCATACCTTTGATGAATTTTGTGAAGCTTACATAATGTCAATAATATTCATTTTTGCTGCAGTTTTAAATAGCCTTGACGGAGCACCATTAGTCTTGATCTTGTCTTTTGAAAGAGCCCTGCATATAATTTTAAAAATATTTAAATTTTAATTTATTAAGTTATCTTTTTTATTTGTATTACCATTCTCGCATGTCTTTAGCAAGTTCTATTTCAGGGTTGATAAAAATTGTCGATGCAATTTACGATGTCATGCACATCTCCCCTGCATATATAATAGTTATAATTAGAATTTGATATTTAATGATAAATAATTTACAATTCAATAATAGAAAATGTTACCTTTGTACAATGATATTTTAAAATTTGATAGCGCTATTATAGTTGTCTCATGCATATTTCCTTCAATAATTGAACATTCATTGCCAGCTAAATCTCCGAATAAAGTTACAGACAATGTTATCTCACTGTGTAAGAAAAGTTAGACAATTTTAGGTTAATATATTATATTTTGAATAATTAATTTCTTGTGAAATAAAAGCATGCATGTACTCTTTGTCTACTATAATGATGTCCCGCCTTGTGTCTGCCTTATTATATCTTGTCACGTACTTGATCATAGGCTTGACATTTGCTATCATTGCAAGAACATCTTCACATAAATTTATAATAAATTAAAAATTCATGTATAAATTTTTTAATTAAAAACAAAAGGTATTTACAAATACTTACTTATATTCCTTGTATCCTCGTTGGAAATTGCGTCTTTGATTGAGATAAAGTTATTCAATATCTTATCAAATTGAAACTCTATTTTTGATTCTTTGATAGAAATGTTCTTAGTCAATGTCAACTCAATTGACTCATGTACATTTCCATAAAGCGGGTTTATTGGTTTGCATTCTCCATTTGAGATGTAAACAACATGATTCTTCTGAAGCATGTGCTTATACATTTCAATAGTTTCTCCAAACATAATACCTTGTATTTTTTCCCCCTGCAAATATTATTAATATTATCTCACAAATAACTAATACATTAACATTTATTTAAGCCTAAGATAAATAAGATAATTAATAGATGACGTAAGTTATGTATAAATGTAGTTTTATGTGGGAAACTTTTAAATAACCATTCTCTAGATTTTACTGAAAGCTATCCATAATCTTCGGGTAAAAAAAAATTACCTTTTTAACTCATCAACGAAACTAAACTTATTTATATAAAGTTATCTGTTATTGAATTAGAATTTCTACTACTTACTAATAAGTCATTTGTTCTCAATTAACAAATTTAATTGTTTATACGGATTAGCTCTTTGTAAAAAATTTTAATAGGCGCTACTTGTATAAACAATTCCACCAAAGTTTTGCAACAACAACTAAGCTGAGGGGCTAACATGATAAATTAATATGCTCAAAATTTAGCTTGATAATGCAAGTAAATAATAAATTTATGGTAAATATGCTTATTAAAAATTTAGTCTGAATAATAACTATTTTGTTGCAGTGTGTTTAAAATGTTGTGTTGATGTCATATTCTAATTATTTGCTTGCTTATATTGTTAGACATATCTAGACAACTAATTTACGTATAATTTGGAAGAAAGCATGATATTTGGTGTATAAAATTTGCGAAATTGAATTACATGTTGCTTACCTCTTTAATAATTGCATGAAATTTTTTAATATGATCTTATACATAGTAAGGTGATAATAATTAATATAAGAATAAGCATCAACAATTATAATTTAATTTATATTTATAATTTATAATTTTAAAAAAAATTGAGAAGGCTCTGCATAGATTTAAAATAACGATTGCTATGGCATGATAAAAAGTGATGGATATTGTACTTAAACATTGTATGTATTACTTTATTTAAGAATAAGTATCAACAATTATCAATAGAATTATAGCATGTAGAATATTGATACATTACCTCTCAGTCGGCAAAAATTAATTTTAGTAGTTTTCCTGATCCTTTGTTGTTCTCATAAGATGACTCAATAGTTCTTAGGATAATAACATGAATGGTCCACTCTCTTTGAAATTTTTTTAGTTGGCGTATTTGGATGTGTGGAATTGGTGCTTCGTTGTTGGATGACATTGTTCCTGCAAGAATTTGAATAGTTTGTTATATATAAATAACAACGCATCTGAAGTACTAAATAAACTCAAAAAGAAAATAAAATAAGACTATTTCTATATTAAAGGTGTGACACTAATTATAGTAATTTGAATTTATAAATTAATATTATTTACAATGTTTAAAGTTATTTTAATTTTGATTAGTACATGAATTTGAATGAAGAGAGTGAATCATGTAATAATGAATTGTAAAATTTTAATTATTTTTAAGAAAAAAACTTTAATAAAATTGCAGCTACTTATTATATAAACTCCTAACCTTCAAAAATGTTATTTGTCATTTGAATTATTCCTCGTTGTCCTTTGGCTGGAGAACTTCCTTGTATACAACATTTTTTGTATATTTTTCCTCTTCAAATTTTCCATCTGATGTTATTAAGACCTTGGTTGTCATCATAGAAGTACCCCACGATAAAGCAACATATAATTGCCCATAAGAGAACACTGGTTCAGGTAGATAAATACCTACGTTAGGTATTGTTTGTCCTTGGGATTTATTAATTGTCATTGCAAAACATAATCTTATGGGAAATTGTTTGCGTTTGAACTTGAATGGTAATCCTTCATCTTCTGCTGGTGACAATGGTATTCTTGGCAAGAAAACTTCTTTCCCAGCATGTTGGCCCATTGTGATTTTAGCTTGAATTACATTGTAGTTAAAATCTTGACATATCATTCTTGTACCGTTGCACAATCCATTAGTGGGATCCAAGTTCCTTAGTAAAATAATTGGACAATATTTTTTCAACTTGAGCTTGTGTGGCGGTAGTCCATTAGGGAGCAGAGTGTTCAAAAATTCTTCTTGGTAATGATGATTAGTGTCATCAACTTCTTCATCAAAGCTATAGAATTCTTTTCCTTCTCCTGGAAAACTTTTTATTAGTCTATCATTTAACTTGTCAACATATTCATTTTTTGTTGCAAGGATATCTCTATCTTTCATATATTCAATAGATTCAAAATTCTCATCTAAAGATAGAAAAATTGAATTTATGAGAGAATCTTCCGGTAGGTCATCACCTTGATTCTGGATCAATATTGCATTAGGCAGTTTTATGAGATCCTGGGTCACTGTTGGTTCATCTCCATTCCCAATCCTAAGAAGAAATTCACTGAATGCCGTGTCTGATTTTGCTCTCATATTTTTTGAAAGTTGTAGTTTGATCATTTTGCTCCACAAATATGAGCTTACTAAACTTTCTTTGATAGTTTGTGATCTTGTTGAGCGAGGCACCACTGGTAAAACTTGTCTGAAATCACCACCAAATACAATTACTTTTCCGCCGAATGGTTCATCTTGATCCATTAAATCTCTTAGTGTTCTATCCAAAGTTTCAATTGCAACGCGTTTAGCCATTGGAGTCTCGTCCCAAATTATTAGACGAGCTATTCTAATGAGTTTTGATGTCCCATCTTACTTTGATATACCACACATAGATGAATCTGTTGTTGGGATTTTGATTTTAAATCTGGAGTGTGCTGTTCTTCCACCATGCATTATTACAGCTGCGACACCTGATGTTGCTGTAGCAAGAGCTATCATACCTTGCGATCTTACTGTGGCAAGTAGAGCACGATATAAATAAGTCTTCCCAGTTCCTCCAGGACCGTCAATAAAGAAAACTCCACTTTTATTTGCTTCAACTCGTGTTAATATTGTAGTGTATGCAGTATGTTGTTCATAGTTGAGTTTTGTTGCAGCATTTAGATCATCAGTTGGGATTTGTACATCTAGCTCTTCTTTTATTTCTCTTGGGTATGAACCTTCCTCTGAAATGTTTTTTGTTTGTAAAGGTGACAAATCAAATTTTTTATTATCCTTTCCCATACTCTCTAAGTAGAAGTTAATATTGAGAAGAGTATCATTTATCACCGAATCTCTAGTAGCATTTGGTTTCCTTGAGAAGTCTTCAGATAATGGTTCAAGATATTGATCCCACAAATAATTAACATCTGTGGGCTCACAATGAACCAATATAATTGCAAACAAACGTCGAAGTGCTGTTGGCATTTGGAAGACGATGGCTTCATCTAAGCACTTTCTTATGCTATCATCAGATTCCAAAAGACCTAATTTCTGGGCTGATTGCTTGAAAGATTTGCAATGAATACCATTTACCGTAAGCAGATCCTCAAATGATGTCGGACACCTAACGTGAGTAAGCAATAGTCGCAAGTAATATCTCTCTCCTTCAATTGGATTAGCCCCGTTTATTCGACCTATCACTTGTCTCTGTTTTCTTGGACTCCAAGATTTTGATGTTGAATCCCAAACATAACATTCAGAAAATTCTTCATATAAGCCATTAGTAGTAAATTATTTGTTAAACATCATCAAAACAAAGAGACCAACACATATACCCATCCCAAATAAATAGGATTGTAAGGTACCACCCATTGATTATTAAGGATTTTGTTTCGAACCAACATTGTTCTGTTATTTTTGCTCCTTTTATAAACTGGGTAAGCATCTTTCGCTTGTAGTGATCTCGGAGAAAACTCTCTAGGGTAGTGATATTTACACTCGCCATTTTGCATGCAAACATTCTTCATATTTAACTCTCCACAAGGGCCATGCATCATATGTTTTTTTACCAGTTCATATAGGATTGGATTTTCATACTGGTTTGGAATTTCTGCTGATACGTACTTATCATAATGATCTGATGAGACGATTTTGTGTTTTCCCATTAGAATAATCAACATGTGTGCATGAGGCAACCCTCTTTTTTGAAACTCGATGACATGAACATGGGCAGCAACTTTTCCAAAGATTTCCTTTTTAAATAGCTGATCTTTCAGGTCTTGCAATTTTGCTCTAAATATCCTTGAGGTTAGATCCGGTCTATCATTATGTGTCTGTCCTGGATGTAGCTCCTCCGTGATTTCTTCCCATTCAGGATTGCATGTCATTGTGATGAAAATATCTGGTTTTCCAAATCGTTGTACTAATGACATTGCATCAAGATATCTACGACGCATATCTCTAGGACCACCAATAAATGATGATGGCAGCACTATTCTTTTTCCGACTTGACATGCTTTTGCTTCACCAACAGCTAAACTATCAACTATGCCTTGGAATAACTCTGCTCTAATTTCTGATTGTTTCTTTCTGAAATAATCAAGTCTTGTTGTTTCAAGCTTTATGTACATATCAACAGCATATTGATGGAACAACCGGCCTGCCGATGTTAATACTGTAGATTGTCGAGTGTCTCTTATCTGGAACTTGTAACAATAATATTCTCGACATGAGACGCTTCCCGCCTTTGGTGCTTTAACACCTACAAGTTTACAGGTTAAGTTAATTTTTAATGTTTTAATATTATTAAACAAATTTAATTATGATTTACCTTCCCTTTCTCGTTTAAATATGTCTTCTGCAGATGTAAAAGTTTGCTGAGTCAATTGAGATGTTGTATTTAGTTGTTTTGAACGACGAATATCATTTTTCTGCCTTCTTTTAATATTTTGGTGCCATCCAACATCTCCGCCTGGAAAGAGTAAAGGATACTGTAAAGGATCATAACAACCAAAATAGTGCTTAACTTGATGATTCTTTCCGGAGTGTGAATGGACAACTATTTCTCTCTCATACGGAACATTTTCATTATTTTCCTCTACCCAGACAGCTGCAACCTGATCCACTGTTGGCGAGTTATAAACACGTTGATCTACTGCAGCATCTCTATTTATAATGATCTTGAAGTCTTCAAGAGATGGAAAATCATTAAGTTTTCGCAGAAATTTTGCATATGGGTTTCCTTCTAATATATCCATAAATCTTTTAGTTGTAGTCGTACTCATGTTTGCATTATCTAATATTCCCATTCGATTTTGCAACTCATTCTCCGTATCGTAGAAGTAAAGTTGAAAGTAGGAATGCTTTTTTTCTTCTGGAATTAGAGAGGGGAGATTATGATATATTTGTCCTTGTGCTCTAAATGTGAAAATACCCTTTTTGTTTGATGCAAGCTCTCTATCAAACCTTGCCCCAAATGATGTGAATGAGAAAATACTATTATACTTTCTGGTTTGTCTTCGAAACTCAATTGCCTCTTGGGTTTGTACTGTATAAAGGGCATATAACTCATCATTAACATTCACATCTGCTAAGTGGATTTCACCATTGTGGCAACATGATGTTGGTGGCTCATGTTCAAATTTTTTTGCTCCACAAAATAAACAAGACTTTGGAGTGCGTAGTTTATGTAATAAAGAACATACTGGCTCATGGTGAATTTGACCTAGAAAAAAATAATAGATTTTAGTGTTAAATAAATTTAGATATATAAAATCATGTAATTATTTTAATAAATTATAAAATTAATCTATGCAAACCTCCATGCTCATATTCTCGTTGTTGCGCTCCACAAAACAAATCAATCTTACGTTTTCCCTTGCTATTGGTACTACTGCCAGCAAAATCATTCCTTTTCCTCTTTCTATTATTATCAATGACATTCTGAATGTAAGTTGTCTTCTGATCAACATTCAACTGATTATATTTGGTGTTTCTACTCTCATGTATTAGAATGTGTTCTTCTGTTAAAAATAATGAAATACACTATTAATAAACATAAATACACATAAAGCAATAATAATATATATTTATGTTGAATTCAAACCTTGGTTTGAAGTCATTTGGAAGAAGGTACTCTTATGCAAATGCACTCACCTGAATCACCGACAACTTTAGAAATGTTTTAAAAAACAAGGAAAATCCAACCAAGTAGAATATCTGCATTAATATGAAAAAATGTTAAATTATTTAATCTAGACGTAAAAGTGTATTACAAAAGTGCACATCATTTCACACAATGTTTTAAAAAGATGATACTAAACATAGGAGGCTTATTAGTAATTCACACAATGTTTTAAAAAGATGATACTAAACATAGGAGGCTTATTAGTAATTCACCAAAATACTATTTATGATGAATTTATTTCTTGTGCACGCTATGTGTGCATGTACAAAATTTGTAGGAAAAAAAACCCCATTTCCATTTGAAAATTAAAAAAATGACAGAATTTGTAGAAAAAACAGCTAGGAATTATGAATCTAAGTTAATAAGAGGCCAAGAAAGTAATGATTATCCTTGGAAAATAAATCATACTATAATTAGAGAAGCAGCCTATATAATTCATTTTTGAGGCTTAAAAATGATGAAAAGTTAGAGAGATGGACTTATAAGTAGGGTGTTGAAGATGATGGTAGTTAATAGGATTAGTTAAGCAGTACGTAGGACATACCTTTTAATGACCAGTATCTATTTGTACATTATATGGATATTTCATGGAAATATTTGAATTCAAGACTTACAAACTTATGGCGAAAGTATTGAACATGCTAACATTACAAAATTATGGTGAAAATGGACCATAACGTGAGGGTAGCCCTATGTATTCTCATTAACTAACAAACAGTATAATCCTCTATACAAACTCTGCTAGCAGAGGATCCATCGCAAATAGCAGTAAGATACGTAGGAAGAAAATGATATGCAATGATACGCAAATGAAGGTAAAATATGCAAATTCTGCAAATATTTGATTTCCTACTATGTCAATGATATGAGCTGAAGATAATAGACATGCCAGGAAATGGATTTAACAGGACTTAATTTTGAGATTCACATAATTATGTAGAATTCAGCATGCAAAACTAACTTCCATATGGTCAAAAAATATATCGCAAGGGCAGTAAACATTCAAACAACTAAGATATCTAAAGTGATGAAATGCAATTTTTACGTATACAACATATAACAATACCACGCAAAGTCAAAAGTGCTTTACAAATCTCTTGCGCGCCTCACCTAATGATAGCAATCAAATTAACCAAATAACAAGTCGAAGGTAGCTATTGAAAAAATTCATGATTACATAAAACTTCAAATGAACTCAGATTACTTTTCGTAAATTGATCAGGATCCATCAGCTCAACCTTTCTGAATCAGCTACGTCATCAAATAATAACTCTTTATTGTGATAAACAAGCATGCTGTTAGCACTTAGTCCTCAATCAATTATCATTTCACAAGTTTTCAGAGGCAGAAAGTTGATCTACAATTTATTATGCAGGGTTGGCTAAAAAGTCCTTCGAAAACCTTTTGATTATAGGCACCTGATAAAGACCTTAGGTAATCAAAGAGATAAGTTCATTAATTCACACCAAAAGAATCATGTTTTCAACAAGTTACTAACAATTGTCATAACGTTGAAGAGTTCTGACTGAAAGCATCATTTTTAATTTCAAACTAACATAAGGAATTAAGGCAAAGAGCATAAAAGATTGTAGCACTAATACGCGCATGGTGCGAAAATTCTCAAATTTGATTTGAGGTATATTGAGCAGAAAACATCGAGTCCCTCAATCTTCATCATGTTCTGGAGAGGTTTGAAATAGAACAATGCTCAAGAGGCCCGGCTATACCAAATTTATCTAACATATATACAATCAATATTAAAAGGAGAAAATAGCGGCATTATTCACTCAAGGAACAAGTAGGCCAATAATAAGAAAAGATGCCACTATTTAAAGTGTTGCATACAGGAGAACATAATCTAGTAAAATCTAACCATCCAACCACAAGCAAAATCCCTTATACTATTATTTAACTATATATAAATAAATAATACACTTCACTATAATGTAATGTATATAGGACACTTCTCTAACAGAAGCTATATTAGATGACTATAATATTATTTATTATAGGACACTTCTCTAACAGAAGCTATATTAATTGACTAAATAGTCATCGAGCCTAATTTTATCTATAATGTAATGTATATAGGACACTTCTCTAACAGAAGCTATAATGTAATATAATACACTTCACTTCTCTAAGCAAGAGCTTGTGACTCTGGTTGCACCTGATTGCTCCTGAAGCTATATTAATTGACTCGTATCAATTAATATAATTAATTGTTTTACAAACTATTTCATTATTTAAACTCGTTTAGTTCTGATATCAACTTCTCATAACTTATGAATCTCTTTATTAGTGAGCAGTCTGTTAATCATTTGTAAAATCCCTTCCGTTGAATATGGAACCTCAAAGATTAGTTACTTTCTGTGATTTTAACAAAAGAGGACTATAGGGCATTTCTTTTTAATCAATTTCTGGAGATTCAAGATTCATTTGCAGCTGAAAATTTATAGCATCTTTTGTGGTTCGAAGGACTCCGGACATCTCCTATTCACGACAACTTACCTAAATTGCCCTTCGCCATGTCTTTAATGTCAAGTTTTATTGGCTTCAGATCAATTATTTCAATTAGCTTTGACACAATTAGAACAGAGAACATTCTAATCTAACCTCAGTCAAAAGCAAACAAGATTTAAACAGTGACCTTAAACAAATCATATCATGCACTAAGCAATTATAAAATTAGCATATCAAACAAGATTTAAACAGTGACCTTAAACAAATCATATCATGCACTAAGCAATTATAAAATTAGCATATCAAATTTCTTGAAAAGGGGACGATCGCAAGATCACAGCTTTGCACTCAAGTACTTCATAATCCAACACTACACAAACAAAAAAGCAAGGTAATGCGAGACAAACCTGTCAGTTCATATATGATATTTATCAGACGAACTCTATGGACCAATATCCACATCAACTGTCCCTTAAAAAAATATCTAGTAAAGCAATTTTAAATGGTTTAAAGTTACTGTAGTCATATATGCACCAGAATTGAGGAACAATAGGCATTTAAACATGAAGCAACGACCAAACGGCCCTTAAATTCACTCTTAGAGAAAAATATATAATATATAACCTCTCCTGAAGCAACAAAATCTATTGTTCTTCATCACATGTATGTTTGCTGTGAATGTTTGTATGCCTTTTCTTGTGTACATGTATCTATATATCTAAGTATGTACTTGTATTTACTATTTAATTATGCATGCGCATGCATATGCAATGTGTATGTTTGCATAAGTACAGATGTGTTGTGTGTATGTATATATGGGTTTGCTGTGCATGCATGTGTATGTGATACACGTGTGTCCATAAACTCAATGGACATATCACATATGCATGTGTATGTTCATGTACCTATGTTCTATGTATGTATGTGAATGGATGTGTGTATGTGTATATATATGAATTTCCTGAGATGTATCTTCTTCAACTCAGAATTCAGTCTCATAGATGATGCGAGGTGAGGAAGAAGAAGTGTTAATGCAAAGACTGTATTTCCTGAAAAGCTATAAATAGAACCTTTGAAAGCTATAAATAGGAAAACAAAGGTTTTCAATTTCTATAGCACCATTTTTGGGCACAAAAGAACCTTGTCTACAAGTCTATTTACCAAACTGGATTGATAATGTAAGAACTCATCACATTGGAAAAATTGGATACTGATACCCAAGGCCAGGGAAACATTCAATAATATATTAACAGGAGTTTTGAACTCCAACCCACAATGTTAAGGAAACAAGAGAATTAACGAAGGATGTTAGACAGGAACAACCAGTCTATTGTTGTATAGAAGACTCCAGTTCAAACAATGCATGTGCATCAGGTTAACCTTGAGTTCATAGAAAAGACTAAGCTCCCTCTATATATTATGAAATATGACTATCACGTTTACATACTTCTTTCGTCCATTCTTTTAAGTATGTGAAAGTTTTTTATATTTTCAAATGATCATTCACAAGAGAAGACAAATATTTCCTACATGTCAACTCACTGGCACGATAAAGCCTAAGAACTGTGAGATGTTACTAAATAATTTCAGAGGCATCAACAATAAAAATACGCAATCAGGAATCCTGTAAGGTACCAGAGGCAATACCATTGTAACCTAAGGAAATTGGGTAACTGATCGAAACATAACAATTTTTGGCTCCTCGAATATATGCATTGTAAGGACAGATGCAGTGATCTTATTACAGGTTCCGGTATCTATAATTTCATGCAATGTTAAACCACATTCGTACATTACTTATCAGGGTCTCATAGAATACCTAAAAAGCAATGCTTTTAGAAGAAAATGAGACTCTCTCTTCCTCCGGCCAAAGGCAACACGTCTTGGTCTAAAAGCCCAAAATTAAGAAATCCATGCATTAACTTAGAATCTGCATGTAACTATATGTTGTTCACCCTTAAAAAGCTGGATATTGATGTCCAAAGGCAAAATAAGAAATTAAAAAGATGGTATGCTCCATCAGGAAATCAGAGGTAACAAATAGGAGAACGACAAAGAAATATGAAAGTGAGGAATCTCCAGTGTGATGTCCTGTGAAAATTTTAAATAGCCATGTATGCTAGAATTAGAATTAGAATAGGAATAACAATGCTAGACAAAGTGGAAAGATAACGCAAGTTACTAATAAGACATCATGATACTAATTCACAGTTGTCACATGAAACTTTTTGATGAAATTAAAAAAAGAAGTTTGGCTCATAGAAAACATTCAAACTCCCAGTCGCAATTTTTAATAAGATGATCAATCATATAGCATATAAAACCATACTTATAGGTATTAATGCTTGAACATGAACAGAGTATTGAAACATTTAGGGTAGATTCTAAACTGTGTCATCACTATTTCATATATAATACATGGCTTACCTGATGAAACTGACAAAGGAGCAATATGAAGAATTGAAGCAAGCCCTGATTCGGACAATCCTTGACCTATTGTTGAATTAGAACAGAAAGAGATGATGGCTAATTAGAACAAAATTAAATTAAATGAAGAGCAAAAAAGTAAAATAATTCTTACCGATGCCAAAATTCAGACAACTGAGGAGATGATGGCGGAGGCGCAGAGATTATGATTAGGGCAGTAACAATCATCTTTGGAAATTTATGGCTTAAGACCGTGGGACGTCGTAACGTAAGAACTGAGAGAAGGCGGAGAGAAGGCGGAACCTAAGGAAGATTTAGGGTAACGGATGAAGTGTTGAATTGATTTCATCTTAAAAAGTTTTAACGGAAGATCGAATGGGCTGAGGAGAAGGCGGAGAGGAGGAACCGAAGGAATATTTAGGGCTTTTGATTTCTTCGGATGTTGTAAGGGATAAGGTTGGTATATATATTTCGGTTGAAGGTTAATTTGGGGAGGGAATTTTTTTTCAGGAACTCCCTCTTTTAAGGGGTAAATAGATAAATAGATCAATCTACTATTAACTGTTGATAGAAGTTGACTTGTTTTAAATTTCTGTATAACTTATAAAGTATGAACTTAATATAAAATCATAGACTAGTTAAATGAGCTTGGGTTCCTTGTTCCATCTGCTTTTAACTCCAAGCAGATACCTATATTAGGAGGAAGACGAAGTCATATGTTTTCGATGTTTATTTCTCATTTTCTGAGACCTTTCAAAATGAGTATGCTAATTGTTCTGTTTAGTAAGAATATGATTATAAGTTGTGCTTGTTTTGAGGTTTTACTTGTTTTGAATTGTTCAGCAGTTTTCTCAGTAGTATCAAGCCTTAAAAATACCTCTTGGCCATTTTAAAGTTCTCTTCCGTGGAGACCCTTAAATGTTTGTCGTTAGAATTTTTTATGTCATTGTCTGTTTCCATGTTATAGACCCCGAGTCCTTAAATTGAGAAAGCCTCATTTGTTGCTGTCAATTATACTTCCATTTGAGATGAAGTTTTTGAAGTCTACACTATCATCCTAAGAGTCTTCGAAGATCTTCATTCATACCAAATGGGTCAATTATCCACACAGCACACACGCATAAAGGAATAAAAGTAGAGTGGAAAAATGAATCAATTCACACAGAAGTTTTAACTGAGGGAATGGAATGAGAGATCAGGTGCAATCAGCTTTACCAGATTATAATTCTAATTTCTTTAGCTAAACCCCTAGTATAAACTAGAAAGATGATGTTTGCTTCAATAAATTACTGTTGCATGTTTTTTCTTCACAAGATTGCTTCAATAAATTACTGTTGCATGATTTCTCTTCACAAGACCTATATAATCTTCATCCAACACGGCAGACTACAGACAATTTCTGAATCATTTCTGTTTAAATCATGTTTTGACCTCCAATTGACATAACTATGTGTACTATATAATGCTAACTATTATCCTATAGTAATGTACATGTCTTAGAGGTCTTTATTGATCATACTTGACACAATCGGAAACTCAGGACTCGTAGTAATTCCTTCTTTCATACGATATTAATTCCTTCTTTCATACGATCTTATTTCTGTCGAATTATTCATTCTATAAGCATGCCATCTTCAAGTGAGTTTTTTGTGGATTTGTTAAATGAGTTGAATGAATCAACGGAGATGATTGATGATGATCATGAGATTCTTTCTCCATTTGTTGCGCAATCTACAATTGAGAGGATGCAGTCTGTGAATATTTCCCAAAACGTCAGATCTGAAAATCCCAATCTAGAAGAAGAGGGGGAAAATAATGTAGAGGCTCCAGGTCAGCGAGAAGTTCTTGATAGGGAGGAAGTTAAGAAATCATATGTGAGTTTATTTTCTGATAACAGAAAACCAGGTAAAGGTCTTGATCTCAACTTTGTCCCAGCTTCACCCTCTGCAACTGTATCTTTTACTGAAGAAGAATGGAGGGAGGGTGTTGATTATTGGAAATACTCCTTAGTAGGACATGTTATAGGACTGAATGTAAAATTCAAATCTATGGAATCATATATCAACAAAGCATGGGCCAGAATATCAATTCCTAAGATTACTTTGATTAAGCAAGGAGTCTTCTTGTTTGATTTCCAATCTGATCAGCAGATGATAGAGGTCTTGGAATCTGGGCCTTGGTTCTTTGGTTCAAGGCCTTTGATGTTAAAACCATGGTCTATTGAGATTGAAATGGAGAAAATACAGGATTATTCTTACCCAATGTGGATACAACTACCAAATCTGAAACTTAATTTGTGGAGTGCCACAGGGATTAGCAAGATCTCTAGCTTAATTGGGTGTCCTATAACTACTGATATGCTTACAGCTACTAGGCAGAGAGTTAGCTATGCTAGAGTTCTAATTGAAGTGCAATTGCCCCTGAAGAAGCCCCTGCCAGACCAAGTTGATTTTCAAGGGCCAGATGGGAAAAAATACAGTCAGAGGGTTATTTATGAACTCAAGCCTCGATGGTGTGCTAACTGCAGTACTATTGGACATGACACTGATAATTGTAGAAGACAAAAGTTCAAGAAAATATGGGTTCCAGTTAATAGAAAGGAAAACTCTGAAGATCAAGCACTGTCTGAACCTGTGCATGTTTCTGGAGATCAGCTTAATGTTAGTTTGCCTGATACCTCTGCTCAGCATATGAAAAAACCTTCAAGCAGTAGTAATGTATCAGAGGCAAATATAAATGCTTATGTCTCTCCTGATAGGGGACACATCTTAGCCAACTCTTCTGCACCTGAGAAACATGCACAGAGTATGAGGAATGATATCCATAGCATTAGACTTGGAAATTCTGGTCTGGCAACTTTTCACCAAATTTCATCTCCAACAGTCAATGCATCTGGATTTTCAAGTGTTAATAGGGCAAGTATTGCTAGAAGAGTTTTAGCAAAAACTCCAGGGAATCTAACTCAGGTATCTTCTTTCTCTCCATTGGAATCTCAGACCCTAGACTTTGACCCCTGTTGCATAGACAGGGGGAAAGGACAATAATGCACTTTGCTATTTGGAATATTAGGGGTTTTAACAAGTCCCCTAAGCATTTAATTGTAAAGCAATTCATTCAAGAGTATAAGCTGGTTTTTATAGCCCTATTGGAAACAAAGCTTTCTGCAGGAAAAATGGATAAAATAGCTCAAAAAATTGCAAAAAATTGGGAATGGATCTCTAACATCCAAGAAGCAGGAAATGGGAGGATTTGGCTTCTATGGAATAGTGATATTCTTTCCATTCAGTGTATTAAAACCTCAATGCAATATGTGACATGCTTAGTAAACACAAAAGATGGTAGACTTTCTTGTCTAATGACTGTGGTTTATGCTTTGAATCAAAGAGAGGGAAGGAAGGTATTATGGCAGGAACTCCAAGACTTCAGGTCATCAGTTGATTGTCCTTGGCTAGTTGGGGGAGATTTTAATGCCATTACTAATGGAGATGAAAGGTTGGGAGGTGCACCAGTTACAGGAGCTGACACTGAAGATTTTCAGCAATTTATTTCCTCTAGTCAACTAGTGCATATCAAGACCACTGGGTGCTTCTATACATGGAACAACAAACAAGAAGCTGAAAGTAGAATCTGGAGCAGATTAGATAGAGTTTTGATCAATGAGTTATGGATCATGCAATATACATCAAGTCAGGCAGATTTTTTACAACCAGTCTGTTCTGATCATTCCCCAGCTCTTCTTACAGTTGGAGATGATGATTTTCAGGGCAAGAAGCCATTCAAATTCTATAAAATGTGGACTAAGCACACTGAATACCTCCCTTTAGTCAGATCTATTTGGCAGCAGGAAGTGCAAGGTTATTATATGTACAAACTGTCCTTCAAGATGAAAATACTCAAACCTGCACTCAAAGAATTAAATAGAAGACATTTCATGAATATCAGTGAACAGGTATTAAGAGCCAAACAGGAGCTAACTGATATTCAAAATAGGATCAACACTGATCTATTCAACTCTCACCTCATCTCCAAAGAAAAAGATTGCTTAAAGAAATATACCAATCTGCTTCAATGTGAAGAATCTTTTTATAGACAGAAAGCAAGCATTAAATGGGCTATTCAAGGAGACAAATCCTCTCACTTCTTCCATTCAGCCATGAAAGCTAGGAGGCACCAAAATAGGGTGTTATCTCTGTATACTGAGGATGAGAATAAAGTTTCTGATATGGACACAATCATCACTGAGCTTATCAGCTACTACAAGAGGTTATTGGGTGTTTCTGGGAATGTTTCTGAACCTGATCTTGCAACTATAACTAATGGTCCTATTCTCTCATCAGAACAAAGAGAATTCCTTGGTTCTCCAGTAACTAGGGAGGAAATAAAACTAGCTGTTTTCACTATGTCTGATGATAAAAGTCCTGGTCCTGATGGATTCAGTGCTTCATTCTTCAAAACTGCCTGGGATGTAATTGGTGATGAGATGTGTAAAGCAATGGAAGAGTTCTTCTATACTGGTAAACTCCTTGGTGTCTTCAATTCAACTTCCATCACACTAGTCCCTAAAATTCTAAATCCAAGATCTCCATCTGATTATAGACCTATCTCTTGCTGTAACTGTGTCTACAAGGTTATATCTAAAATTATTGCTGCCAGAATTCAGAATGTCATTGGTTACTTGATTGATGAGGCTCAGAGTGCTTTTGTTAAGGGCAGATTGATCTCTAACAATATTCTTCTGGCGCATGAACTCTTAAAACACTATGGCAGGAAGAATGTCTCTCCAAGAGCTGTTCTTAACATTGATTTGAGGAAGGCATTTGACACTATAAATTGGAGTTTTATTAAGGCTATGCTGACAGGTTTGGGATTTCCTGATAACATGGTTAAATGGGTGATGGAATGCATCTCTACTTCCAAATTCTCCCTGTCACTTAATGGATCATTGCATGGCTACTTTGAGGGGGCTAGAGGATTGAGGCAATGAGATCCATTGTCTCCTTACTTGTTTGTTCTTGGTATGGAGTATTTATCCAGAAAGCTTAAACTTCTCAGAGCAGACAGGCAGTTTAAACACCATCCAAAGTGTGCTAAGTTGGGTATTACTCACTTGATCTTTGCTGATGATCTATTACTCTTTTGTAGAGCTGATATGGAGTCCGTAGTCAAAATAAACACCTGCCTTCAGGAGTTTAGTAGAGTGTCTGGATTGGAGCCAAACTCCTGTAAATCCTCTGTGCTATTGTGTGGGGTTGAAGACAATACTAAAGTTCAAATATGTTCGTACCTGAAATTCCCAGAGGGATCATTGCCTGTAAGATACTTAGGCATGCCCTTGGTTTCTAAAAGACTCTCCTACTTGGACTGCTCATCTCTAATCTCAAAAATCTCGGATCAGTTTCAAGACTGGCAAAAAAGGAAGTGCTTATCCTATGCGGGGAGGATTCAACTCATCAAAACTGTTATCCTGGGAATTCAATCATATTGGA